TTGTAAACCAGATTGTCGTTTCTCTCGACAATACAACTTTTTTTTCCCCGAATGGTTTCAGCATGCCAACAAGCTCCTCGAGCCTTTCTTGTTTCAATAGTGTGCATAAATTTCAAGTAACGTCTCTATAGCTTCTGCCTTTTCTTCTTTTGAAGCAACATTTGTTAGACTACTTTTTTTACGATATGTTTCCTCTGAATTCATCTGCATGTACAAGTGCCTCTATTCTGTTATCTTTGCGTACTTGATTACCTTCCAAAGACATTTTACCTTCAATTATTCGGTTCTTACAAGTAGGAAGCAGACTTGGCATTTCCATTCTTCGGTGTGGTTTCTTGCAAGGATTCTTACAATCAATTTGAGTACATTATTTTCGTTCTGTTTCTTCGTGCTATTTACTCAATGTACTTGATCCTGATAAGGATCTCAAGGCAATACTTACAGGTTTGTTGGCACTTTCGGTGTTAAAGGACACCCTACTATGTACTTCAGATCTGCAAATGATGACTAGAAACTGTTGACCCTAAATAATGTTGCCAACAAATATTGTACTCATCCGCGCACATGTAAGCCTAATTCAACACGCTAAGACACGTGGACAGTTTAGAACTAGCAAATCAAGGGCGTGGAAGCAACTCAAAGGCACGGGACGGGAACATTCGGAATCCGACAAGATATTTGCATAACGATTGTATAATAATTACCAATCGATGTTTGTAGAATATGTATATGAAATCGTGAATATTTCGAGAAAGTCAAATGTAAAGGGTGTTGCGTAATATTTGTTCTTGTGTAGAATCTTGCATTAGCGTTTGTATGAGGTACATGGGAGAGTATTTATAATGTTACAAGTTAGATTGTGGCCCTTGGCTGAGAGTACACGTGGCTTCATTTTGTTAATTTACATGTCAAATTATAGGCATTAAATTTGACCACCTAGCCTACTTTACATTTATTAGAGCCGTCGCTACTTTGACAAAACAAGACACTTGCACTCCATGATAGATGTTCCATCAGTCATTCAAAAAGGATCCTTATGTAAGATCGGATCTCTGAGGAGAAGGGACGCCAGTTGTCATGGGCGTCAGTATAATGGGCCTCGATATGAAGAGCCTCGGCCATGTATACCATCTCAGTTATGACACTTCGGCACACAAAATCTGGGCCCCGTCTCATAGGAGTTGTTTGCTGGTGTTGGTCAATCTCCATTGACTTAGGGGCCTCGGCGGAGATGCCACGTGGTTCAGCATGGGTGGGCCATGGATCCCAGTAGGTCAGACAAATGTATCGACACGTAACAAAAACAATATGAAGGGAAGTGGACAAAGGAGGACATTATTTAGAAAAATCGAGATTAATCTGTTAAAGCTGCCTCAATCAAACCTGAATTTGCCAAATCTAAAATAGAATATTTAAATTCAACTAAGGATGAACTATGAATTTACATAAAATGATATATTTTAAGGTTTTGATTGATGTTTCGGTACATTTTTTTTTGAATTTACGTCACTTTTACAACGATGAGTGTTTATACAATTTTTGACATTTACTCATCAATTTGTCACTTTTTTTAGAAAAAACCCAACACTTTTTAAAATTTTGTCACTTTTTGAGGGTTTATCACTTTTTTACTCCGTATAACTTTTTTTTTTTTTTTTAATTTGTGTCACTTCTTTGAATTCGTCGCTTTTTTAAAATCACTTTTTTAAATTTTTGTCACTTTTTCTTTAGTGTTTGTCACTCTTTTTAGTCACCTTCTTAATTTCTATCATTTTTTTTAGTGACAAATATCATTTTTTAATAAAAAGTGACATTTTATGTCTTTTTTTTAATTGCTTTAAAAAAAAAGTGACATTGTGTCACTTTTTAATAAGACGCAATATTTTTTACTTCCTAAAAACTTTTTGTATGAATTTCAAAAGACACCTAATTTTAAAGATATTTTTGTAAGTTGCTCTTGATTAAAATCTAAGTCAAATTTTGTTTGAGCCTTATTATTTCCTAATAATGCATTTTAGAGTAGTAGAATGATGAATAATGTACGGTTAAAGAATTTGTAATTTACATATAATATTATTTTATGAAAAAATGTGTGTTGAAAAGAAAATAGAGAACAATGTATTTTGAAAAGAATGTAAATCAAACAAGGGCTTAATAATTAATTTTTATCACACATTCAATGATTCCTGCAACTTCTCAACTACATATTCCACCAACTTTTATGGGCTAAAAATCCAAATGACCATTGAACTTTTCACAATATTTTTCATTGGCCATTAAACTTAATTTTTTTTGGGGTGTCGCCGAAATTATCATATCATTATACCAATGGCCATTACACTTTAAAGAATTTTTAGATTATCACTGAACTTAACAAATCGCTATCACATTCATCACACAACAACCCATTGACAGAAAATTCGACCGGACAAGCTGATTTGGCAAATTAAAAAAATTGGCACGGCATATTATTGTGGTTAGTTGATTATAAATTAATCAACCAAAAATGTGCTTCCATCCATTAAAAATGCTTATGAAAATGCAATTGAATATTAAAATTTGGCTGATTTGTCATCAACTAATTACAATAATGACTAACGAGTCATGTTAGCATTTATTTATTTTGTCACGTTAGGAAGTCCGTCAAATTTTCTAACTTTGAGTAATTGAGTGATAAATGGATAATGATTTGATAAGTATGATAACCATTCGAAAACTTTTAGGTTTAACGGTAAATGGGATATCTATTTAATGAATTTGGTGACCATCTGAAAAACTTTTAAAGCTTAATGGCCATTAGGATACCGATTTGATAGGTCCAGTAACCAATCGAAACTTTTTCAAAGTTTAATACTCAATTAAAAATATTTTGCAAAATTCAACGACCATTTAATCTATATCTTAACCAAACGGGGTCTAGATTTGTAGCCCGACAAATCAATTTAGCATCCGTTTGACAATGTTTTATAAGTATTTTAGTTTCATGAAGTATGATGAAAAAATTAATAAAAACTAGTGATCCAAAAAATATGTAATTAAAAATGCAGTTTAGCCATTTTATAACCTAAAAAACAGTGTAAAATAGGGAGTTGTTCTAATATGTGAAATACAATAAATTACTCATTATTCAACTCTTTTGAATCAAGATCACATGTCATGACTTTCTCAGATCGGATCACACAAATTTTAATTTTAATGTTTTTATTAATTAGGAACATGTGTTTGTGGTTTTAATAATTACGATCCTAGGTAAGTTCCGACTTGTTTGTCAAGTGTTAGGTCCCATGTAGATTTACGTTGGCCACTCTTGATTGGGCAATTTTTTAATCCTTAAAGAATCTTCACTTGGATTTTTCAAGATCCCTTTTGTTCCACAAAACCCAATATGCTAACCTAAGAAAACTAAAATAATTTTCAATATAAAAATATCTCAAATCTGAAAGGGCGGTGCACAATATATATAATTGGGGATTATTTGCATAAAAATATTTTATTTTTGTGATTTAAAATGAATTACAAATATTTCATCGAACTCTAGTATTCGCTAAAATTTTTGTTTATTTAAAATATAATGGACGAATAATATTTTTTATTTTTTTTATTTACAATATCCTTATGAACTTTTAAAATGAAGAAATTGAATCGAAATCTGATTCAGATCCAATATGATACTTACGGGTATATAAGAAATGTATTGTATTGATTCTTTTTAATGAATCGATCCTAAATTGATCAATCAAAGAAATATTCAACAACTAAAAGAAGATCGATTCTTTGAAATCCTTTCATTCAGAATTGATTGATAGATTTCTCGAGACAAATGAAAGATGAAACATAAATCATGGATCAACTAATACATCATCATCAATGATAAAAATATGTTAATTAATGGAAGGTCGAAGTAAAAAATGCAACGAAAAAAGTTACATAAGTGTAATAATTAACAAAGATTAAAATCTTTTAGTACAATTAAAAAGTGGCCAAACAGCATAAATTTGTTGACAGTATAAAATATACCCAAGAAATATGAAAATTAAATACAGGAAAGTAGACCAATTTTGTACATGATTTCCCTTCTGACCTATTCGAAATTAAGTGCTTATAAATTGATTATATACTTTTTAACCACATATTATTTATGACTCACTACTTATAAATACTTAAAAGCTAATCCAAACAAGCACTAATATTGAGCCGTACTAAATAAAAATTGTTTAATGGGCATTTTTATGTAAAAATGTATTTTAGAATAATAAATTGATGTGAAATATGTGATCGAAAAATAAGGAAAGATTTTTGTTTTACGTGTAATATTATTTTAATAGAAAATATATTGTTGAAAATAAGAGGAGAAAAATATATTTTGAAAAAAAGACTACGGGGCACTTTGCTTTTGTTAAAACTATGCCACGCACCACAAGAAAACAAAAACAAAAAAATAAAAAATGGTGGTACTTGTGAATCATATTTGTCTAGTTATTCAAACTTGTTCAACTAGTCAAATTGAATTTTTCGACCCTGGGCCTAGTTCTTTTGACAATTAAAATCCTTGTCATGACAAATGTAGTGAAGATTTGATGGAAGACAAGTGACGTATTATTCTCCAGACCCCACAGTAGGTTTTATTTCTTTTTTTTTGTAAAATGTCATAAATATTCATTTTCTCTATTTTCTTATCGATTATATATTTTCAATAAAATAATATTATATGTAATCTCAAAACATATTCTTCATTTTTAACTACAAATTCAAAAAAAAAAAAAAATTATTCCAACCATTAAAATTTCAAATAATGGGAGCCAAACGGGAGCTTAGAATATTAGACTAATCTCAACTATTTATAATTTTGGGTATCACATACACCAATGCTCACTTTTTAAGCTACATACAATCTAAAATGTCTTATGCTTAGTTAATTTCTTCAAAACTTTCATACGTAGTGTAAGTGTTTTCCATATTGGTTGGGCCCCATACAAAGCAACAACATTTGACATAATAATGGGAAAGGGCGAGAAATGCAATCCGCTATTGCCACCACTAAGTGCTCCTTAAATCCGTGGGAGACAGACAACCAAATCCACGACAAAAATATATATTTACCTTGGACCCTTCACCACCAGCTATCAAATTCCCCTTCTACTGAATCTAGATCCCTCTTATCTACGCTTTTTCTTTATCCAAATTTTCATTTTTTGACGCTCAGAAAAAATAAAAAAATGGTGGAATTGAAAGGGGGAACTAGGCCGCCATGGGTGGGACTTGGAGCTGCAGTTTGGGTGCAAGTAGCAGCTGGAAATGGCTACAATTTTCCGCTGTATTCTCATTCATTAAAATCGGTTCTGGGAGTCAACCAGCAGCAACTTACTATACTTGGAGTGGCAAATGATATAGGTGAAAACATGGGGATCCTCCCTGGTTTGGCCTGCAACAAGTTCCCACCTTGGGTGATTCTGTTGATCGGTTCTTTTTGTTGTTTTTTGGGTTATGGAGTCCTCTGGCTTACACTCAGCCGTACTGTTCTCTCCTTGCCTTATTGGCTGGTACGGTTTCTCTCTTTCTATAATTTTTTTACTTCTTTATGTTGCCAAGTTGTTGACTGTGTCCAGCTTAATCGTACTGTACCTTTTGACACGGATCAACCTAAAGTTCACACTGTTTAAATGATTATAGGAGATTGGTTGGCTTTGCTTTGTTTCGATTTTTATTCTGTTTGGTGTTGCTGTCTTCAGAGGAATTGAGACTTAATCCATAACATTAATTTCGAAGAAAGGGAAGCGAGGAACTGCTAACAAGCTATTTTAATGCTCGCTGAGGTCATAATTTTGAAATGGCAAGATAATACTTTGTGGTGTGATTGAATAATCTTTTACAAGAATCATCTTCAAATAATATTGACATTGTTATGTACTAGTGTAATTATTATTCAATTTGGATTTGTTTTATGCATTTTTCCAACACTTTCAGATTTACCAATCAGTTATAATATTCAGTAGTTAACCAAAACATTAAGTAGTTCACGTCTGATATAAAAAATTAAAGACGCTTAGCATGGGTTTGAATTCTTTTAGTGGTCGTAGTAAATTCTCCTTGTTTAAGAAATGAAAGGCATATTGATAAAAGTAACATACAATTTGCACGGGATTCCTATATGAAACCAGTTGGGAATATCATCATTCATGCCTTGTGTATGTCATGAAATTTAAAGTCTTCAATGTTGTAAGGACTAGTTAAAGTGGACGGGGTGCCCTCACTAGAGATAAGAAGAAACATATGAATGGTGAAGGTCTGGTCTCTCAACCTTTAAACATTATGCATGCATATGCTTGCTTAGATTCACAGTTCGGAAATCTTGTATATACTCACGTAACCAAGTCATTTGAAGCAATTAAAATCTCCCTCTTTTGCAAACTAGTTCAGAATGGCCTAGTTGAATTTTATAGAAGGAACTTTTTCCGAGTCCAACTTATCATCTTCTTCACCTACTCCCCCCCCCCCCCCGCCCCCCCCCCCCCCCGCCCCCCCCCCCCCCCGCCCCCCCCCCCCCCCGCCCCCCCCCCCCCCCGCCCCCCCCCCCCCCCGCCCCCCCCCCCCCCCGCCCCCCCCCCCCCCCGCCCCCCCCCCCCCCCGCCCCCCCCCCCCCCCGCCCCCCCCCCCCCCCGCCCCCCCCCCCCCCCGCCCCCCCCCCCCCCCGCCCCCCCCCCCCCCCGCCCCCCCCCCCCCCCGCCCCCCCCCCCCCCCGCCCCCCCCCCCCCCCGCCCCCCCCCCCCCCCGCCCCCCCCCCCCCCCGCCCCCCCCCCCCCCCGCCCCCCCCCCCCCCCCCCGGGTCATCCCCTAGACCCACTACTGTTGTCACCTCAAAACCCTGTCATGGCCCTGAATCACCCTTTCCCTATCACCCTTGAGTCCTCCTAACAGCCCCTTCCCTCCCCTATTTTTACTCACTACACTATTTTTTCCACTTACTCAGGAGATTCCCAAACTCTCGAGTAAGAGGAACGGAACAGAGGAGTCTAATATTATAAAAATAGGTAAAGGTGAAAGGGGGTGGGGACAATGGGAAAAGGAGGAGAAGGGAGGGTGCCGCGGTATAGGTGGTTTGGTTAAGATCAGTAGGGTGCGAAAGAAGAAAGGTAAAGGGTATATTGAGATATATGACGAATAAAGCAGACTTGATTACTAAACTTTAAAAAATGAGGCTCTTTTTCATTCCTCTTTCAAACTTAGATCTTTTTAAACATTTTCCTCAATGGCTTTTCTCATGTTACTGGGTTGGTTTTATTTTCCTGCAACTTTTTCTTTTTTGTAAGATGATCTAATCTTTCAAATGTCACACAATGTTCTTTTCTTCTATTTAATATGGTTCAATTATACATGCATTTACCAGCTGTTTTCATGTTAAAAGTTTTTCACTATTTCTTTTTCTGGAACATAACTAATCTTGGTTCACTGGCAGTTGTGGATTGCTTTATGCATTGCAACAAATAGCACTGCTTGGTTCGGAACAGCAGTGCTCGTGACTAATATGAGAAACTTCCCACTTAGTCGGGGAACAGTTTCTGGCATTATCAAAGGATATGCAGGTCTTGGTGCTGCTGTTTATACTGAAATTTACAGCGTAATGCTTCATGATTCTTCGACTAAACTATTATTGTTCTTGGCAATCGGTATTCCTGCTATATGCCTTTTGATGATGTATTTTGTTCGGCCTTGCACTCCAGCTTCTGGGGATGATTCTTCGGAAAAAGGCCATTTTCTCTTCATCCAAGCTTCTAGTATTGTGCTTGGCATATATGTGCTTATTACTACCATTTTGGATGATGTGCTCACTTTAAGCGCTCCTGTTTCCTATACTTTTCTCGTTGTTATGGTTCTCCTCCTCATGGCTCCACTTGCTATTCCCATAAAGATGACTTTCTACCCTTCCAACCACAGTAAATCTGCCAAACTCGGCCAAGAGGTCGGACCAGCAAATTCTTCAGATCAGGAAAATAGCAATAAGGATAACACGGAACCTCTTTTGACGCCATCTTCATCTGCAGCTAACCTTGGAAGTTTTCACGAAAATGACTACATGACTGATGTGGAGATGCTTCTTGCTGTAGGAGAAGGTGCTATAAGGAGGAAAAAGAGGAAACCTAGAAGAGGGGACGATTTCAACATCACTGAAGCTTTGGTCAAAGCTGACTTCTGGCTTCTTTTCTTGATCTCCTTTGTTGGGATTGGCACTGGCATTACTGTTCTGAATAACCTGGCACAGATAGGAATAGCTCAAGACATGAATGATACAAAGTTCCTGTTAGCTCTCTTCAGCTTCTGTAGTTTTATCGGCCGCCTTGGTGGAGGTGTGGCTTCTGAATATTTCGTCAGGTCAGGGTAACTTGTCCATTTAAGATAGCAAACTTAAGAAATAGGAAATAAATTGTTGGGATGGCGAAAATAAGAAAATATCAACAAGAAGCTAAGCCCCTGTATGTCTCCCTTTTTTCGAAACTTTTTTTTTCTCAAACTCATTTTTAACCACACATTCAATTTAAGAATCTTCCTGGCGAATGGCCTATTCTCCCCGGTCGGAATAGGTAGGATAATTCCTTCCTTAGAACCGTACTTGAGAGTTTCCCAGTAAGCAAACAGGGAACCCATGGGTATTTGAATCCAAGTATCCAGGAAAAGCCAAAGTATTTGACCCATTTGACACGTGCAATTTCTCTTCAGTCAATACGTCCTGCAATTTGTATTACTTATTCAATTGAAAGTCCTGATCCAATTCAAAAATTATGTTTCGAAATTTCATGATCGAAACTCTTTTTTTTTCTCAAAACTTATTTTCAACCATACATTCATGCGATAAAATATTTTGCACGTAAATTTAATTTTTTTCTACATTTTGACCATATATACTGCCAAAAAATCACTATTTAAAAAATCATTTTCCCCCAGGAACTGTTTAAAAAGGGGGACAAATAGAGGCTAAGTCTTGTTCTAGTAAATGTGGGTTCCACTCCATGGATCTTTTTCGCCACTCTATTCAGTTCATTGCTAGAGTTATTGGGAGATATAAAGCTATTAGATCTTAAGCAACTAAAACTTGCCTTTTGTATTAGAATCCATGTCATAAGATTTGAAAATGTTTACATGTCGACTTGCCACAACTTCCTCCTTTTACCCATACTCGGGACCAGCTATTTAAAACATAGGCAGATGATGTTGACACCTACTATTTTCAGATTCACCTTAAAAGTACCTCTAAACATTTGATGAATTAGTTGAGTACGCATTATAAAGATTTACATTGAACACACACAAAAGATTTAGTATGAGAAATTGTCACGAGTTACCGAAAAGTTTCTTCCATATATCCAAGATAATATTCTTTTTTTTTTTTTTCCTAAACAACAGAATATTGTATTTTTCCCCCTTTTCACCACATTCAGCTTATTCACTAGGTTTTCTTATCCAACAGCTCTTGACCTTTTCCCAAAATTATCTTGACTTTGACGGGACGTTAAAGATTTGGAAAGATTTTTTGATATCATCTGTGATTTTTTTTGTGATTTCTTACATTATTTCTGATTGTGCAATTAGTATAAAAATGTTACCTTTTATATTAATTTGTAACTCTATATTAGGTTCCTTGTCATTGCAATTCCTATGCACAAGAGTACTTCAGCCAAATTTCCCTATTGTTTTTGGCATTTCTTGTTCCAATATTGAATTTATAGTTCTAAGATGAAGAATGCTATCTCATAATATAGTATTTCATTACGATATTTATCTTGTAACATGCTATAATTTGCCATGTAAATGTACTTGCAGATCAAAAGCAATCCCCAGGACAGTTTGGATTGTAGTTGCACAAGTAACAATGGTAGTGACATACCTTCTCTTTGCTTCAGCTCTTGATGGTACTCTTTATGCTGCAACGTTGTTGCTTGGAATCTGCTATGGCATTCACGGTTCTGTCATTACCCCTGCAGTCTCTGAGCTTTTTGGCCTTAAACACTTTGGTATTATTTCGAATCTCATGGGACTGGGTAATCCAATTGGTGCCTATCTATTCTCGGGTTTACTTGCTGGACATCTATATGATAAAGAGGCAGCGAACCAACATTCTTCTACTTGCTTGGGTCCGGATTGCTTTAGGCTCACCTTTCTGATTTTGGCCGGTGTCTGCTGTGTTGGCTCTGCACTTAGCATTGTTTTGACATGGCGGATAAAACCCGTTTATCAAATGCTGTATGCTGGAGGATCCTTCAGGTTACCTCAAAGTTCAAACCACTAATGGACCAAAATGAATGGGGATAGGGACTATCAGCTGTGTATTGGTGCCTGTGCAGGCCTTGATGATGCTACCCATATATTTCGTAGCACCACCACCAGAGTTTAGTTTTCTAGCCGAGGTTCTTATGCTTCAGGTTCAGGATCATAACGAGCATTTTAAGCATTTGAGCATGTCTGATATGCACTATTGGGAATATCCCACTATAATGAATAAATCCTGACCACTTTTATCTTTAACACTGTCCAGTAATGTTTAGATTTCCTTATTGAATGTATCATTATTTGCATTTTTAAGGCTAGTCTATAAATATATGGAAATCTTTCTCGGTAAGAAGTGCTGTTGCCGTCACTTATATGAATTTCCAGCATTGGAAGAAAAAACCGAACAATCATTTATTCGGGCATAGACGATGACTTATTTTGATTATCAAAATAAGCAACAAGTAGTATTGAAATGAGGCTCACTTTCATTAAAAGGTAATACAAACACAAAATAAAGGATAGGACAGTCTGTACTGGAGTTCAACTTACGAGGTTGTCTAGTTCACCTTGTACGCACACTTCTAGTGGTTTTGGACAAAATACCAATGCAGTACTATCACGAAAAAACTAAATGCAACCTAGAATCATGCTTAACCGAGTTTAAAAGCTACTCACAAGTGATTTTCGTTGGTGGCGTGTAAAAAGCGACTGCCAGGAAAGAAAAAGAAAAAAAAAAAATGAAAAAGGAAAAGCAGCTTTTAAGCTCTTTTCAAAAGTTTATAAACCTCCAAATTGCCCACACTCTTCAAGTTGGTTTCATATCTTGAAACATTAAAGACCATAGTGACTGATCCCCATCATGTTCATCCCCAGTCATTCCCTTATCACTGTACCTAACTTCTGGGCTCAATTCCCAACCATCTATAGGCCCAGATACAGTTGGGCTTCTACAGAAAAATCCCATCCTCTCTTTTCCCCTTCCATATATGGGCCTAGTAACAATTGGGGTACAATTTGCCTGCATCTTGCCACCTAAAGGCCCAGATATGCTCAGACTTCTGCTTGTCAGCGCGAACTTTTCTTGCCCTCTTCTGTCCAAAGGCCCTGATTTCAATTTCTTCTCCTTATCAGGCCATTGAATTCTGTAAGGAGTGAGCTGTGAAATGGGTATTTGGCCGGATTCTTTTTGAAGAGAACCCCATTTTCCAATATTCTTGGAGAAGAGCCTTTTGGTTTTGTTTATTGCAACAATAAACCTGGAAAAGCCATATAGGCTTCCCTTTAATTCCTTCCTTGCAAGCTTGAGAATTTCCAGTCTGTGTTTGGCTATACAGATGCCAATGCTTTGGAGAAATTCATGGTTGAAATAGGGTAAATCCTCTTGTTGAAGCTGATTTTGAGTGAAAACTAGACCATATTCATAAACAAAAGTTGGGTGCAGATTAGTTTTTGAGAGCCATGAATACCAGTCCATGGCTAGCTACTTGCCCACAGATTGGGTAAGTAACACAAAGACTTGTATTTATATGCAAGAAGTCTCCCGTCCGGTCCCATAAGAGCGATATAATCGTTATACAACATGTTAGAAGGCAAAAAGTAGACGGTTGATTTCACAATGAATTGAATATAGTGGTAGAAACGGATTCATGTGGTCAACCAAAAAGACTTAATTTTGTTAGGAAAAAGCCAAACGAACATAGCCGTTGATATGGCGGTTGACATGGCACTCATAGTCGAAGTGTGGGACCCCATAAATAAAATAATGTCGACCTCCCGATGTGTGAGTGCTATGTCAATCGTCGTGTCAAGCTCTATGTTCGTGTAACACATCCCATTTTGTTAACCATCCCATTTGAATCATTAAACTACTAAATATAGGCCTCTTGTATTCGTTTAAATTTTATCTTCAATACGCCTCCTTGTGTGCCCGTTAAATTTGTTTCTAAATAAAATTCTAGCACGTGCATAATTTTTATAAACATATAGCAGCTAGACTTGAAGTTGAATCTTTTGCATACCATGTTACTCATCTCGTCTAATTACTTAAGCCGTTCGTTATTATTGTGACAATGTATGTATTAATTATGCAAGGGAAAAAATCTGAGTGGGAGAAGTAGAAACTGTGCTTGAAAGTAATGTGCATGAATGCTGTGGGGTAAGATGATAGATGCAAAAATAATATCTTTATCATCTCGTTATGTGGAATTCAAATGGTAGTTGGGAAAACCAAGACGTTTGGTCCTCTTAAATTAGATTTTCAAAAGTTAGGTAGGGATTTTTAATTACACTTACTAAATTTGCATTGAATTTGGTTTAATGTTAACTACTCATTAATTATTACTAACAACCCCTCCTGACCACGTGAAAGTAACAATTACTTGCACTATGTAAGCCTTCTTTTTTCTTTGCCAAAATACTGCTTGTACTAAAGTGGGAGGGTTGACTTTGATTCCTAAGAAAACTCTGCTAGTAAGATGGATAAGTATAAAAAGTAACTTTAAGAATTATATTTATCTATATAAGTAACTTATAACAATACAAAAAATATCATAATCAATGATCCAAGAAATTGTAAATATGTCGTCGTTGATAATGTTCTAGGACTAAATTCATTACGATGTTCAGTGGTCGGTAAAGAGAAGTTGAAATTCATTACGATGTTCAGTGGTCGGTAAAGAGAAGTTGACGATTATATTCAACGACTAAATAAATATTTGATCGTTAATTGTGTTGTTTCAGCAATAATAGAATATGTCGTATAAAATATGCAATATTTTCACCTTCAATCATAATTCAAGAAACCAAGTGCTTTACTAACATGCAAGTTGCAGTGGTAGGCTCATAGAACTACCCATAACATTTTGGGCCAAAGTCCAAACTACATAAATAGCATTAAAGCCTAAATACTGGTTAGTTTCAATTTGGCAAACTAGAAAGGGGACAAGCCAACAAAAATATCGCAACAATTAACCCTGGTTTGATTTTTATTTTTTGAGTAGTAATTTTGTGAAAAGTGAATTTTTGAAAAACATATGGATAAAAGGTAGGAAAAATTATGGATCTCCGTATAAAATTATCTGATTAGAAGAATATGTAATTAAAATTGACTTTGAAAAAATTAAATTTGAAAAAGAGCTTGGTGATTAAAATCCTGGGTAGATAAGTCCCTGCCTTTTAATTGCATGAGCCAAATGTTAATTAAAAAAAAGTAAATAAATAAAATAAAAATCCCTGGGATAAGGCTGTTGACCATTATGGGATAAACCGGTGTACAAACGTATATATATTATTAACGAATTTGCAATTCATGTGATTACTCAGATCTTTTAATTGGGGGGATTTTTTAAAAAGGCCTAGTCAAGCCCTTCAAAACTTTTTGAGGCCTAACTTACTTTAAGGCCTTTTTTATTCTAAAATGTGTAAATTATCCTTTTCTATATTGTTCATAAGTCTTAAATGCCCTTTACATAAATGACTATAATATCCTTTCTATAACATTTTCAAGAAAAAATGAACAACGAAAAATGACTATAGTCATTTAAAACAACTTTAGTCATTTTATGAGAAAAACAACTACAGTCATTTAAAACGACTATAGTTGTTTTTTATTTCATAAAAGCCTCTGGTTGTGATTTGTATGGTCGCGACGACAAATAGAAAATCTATTTAGATAACAATCAAAAACATTTTTTAAAAGAAAAATGACTACAGTCATTTTTGAAGATTGTAATCGTTTTTCATTTATCACTTTCAAGTTTGAATGATATATTACCTTTTATTATACATAATAGTTTAACCTATTCAAAATTAATTGTAAGTCACATACTTAAAATGGAATACGGTATACTTAAACAATGTGAAGTGGAGCACGATAAACTGTATACATCGAACTTCATTTTCCAATACGTTTTTAAATGAAACAGATTGAAATCAAATATGGCTTAAAAGGTTCCTTACTTGATTAGCCTCTAGTCTTTCACTATACATGAACTTACCGAAACCAATTGTAATTTGTATGCTTAAATACTGATATGATATACTTGATCAATGTGTAATGGAGTACAGTGATGAGTTTCCCTTCCTATATGTTTTTAAATGAAATAGGTTGAAATCAAGCATATTTTAAAATGTTAGAAGTTTGAAAGACATCTTTTCTTTCATTATAAATGATAGTTTAACTTGTTCAAAATCAATTGTAATTCATGTAATTAAAAATCAAATATGGTATACTTGAATTGTGTGCAGTGACGCATAATGGATTGTATGAAACGATGTTCATCTTTCTAGACTTCTTTTTAAATGAAATAAGTAGAAATCTAACACAATCTTTAGATGTTTAACTGACATATCATCTTTTGTTATACATGATGATTCAATTTATCGAAATAAAAATATAAGTCGTATGCATAAAAATCGAATGCAATATATCTGAAAAGTGTGTAGTGGGGTATGACGATGAAGTTCACCTTCCCATATGTTTTTACACGAAATACGTTAAAATCAAACACGGTTTAAATGGTTAAAATTTTGATTGTCACGCTTTTCATTATAAACGATGTTTTAACTTATCGAAACCAATTGTAAAAGGCATACTTAAGATTGAATACGATATACTCGAACTACGTATAGTTGAGCACGATGAGTTGTAATAACAAAGTTCATCTTCCCATACATTTTGAACGAAATAGGTTGAAATCAAATACATTCTAAAAGGTTAGAAGTTCAGTTGTCTCTTTCATTATACACAATGGTTTAATTTATCAAATTAATTGTAAGTCGTATGCTTAAAAATTGAATGTGGTATACTAGAGCACGATCCCCCTCCCCCCCACATATATATAATACAATGTGTGCTTTATGTTATGAGTTTTTATCATAATTCATACATAATTTGTGTTTTATGAATGTTGGACATTTTTTTCATGCTCTTTTATTTTATATAACAAATGATGAATGAAAAATGACCCATGGGTCGTTTAAACGACTGCAATCATTTTCTCTTAAAACGACTACAGTCGTTTAGAACGATTGGAGTCATTTTCAGTTGTAACAAGAAAACGACTGAAGTAGTTTAAAATGACTGGAGCCATTTTACAGATTTATATCTCTTTTTTCATTATATACTAATTTTTCTATACATTTTTTAAAATGGAATATTTTGAAAGCAGACCAAACACAATATAAAATGTTATACAATATGATTTAACTTATAAGGTTACATGTTTGATTGACATCTCGTTTAGAACGACGGTTTACATTATGCTTTCACTTATTCGTTTTATAAATAGGTCGAAACTAAACACGGTTTACAATGTTAGATGTTTGATTCATGTCTCATCTTGCATTATGGATTATTGAAAGTCGCATTATTTTAAACTAATTACGATATATTTGAACATTATTAGTAGAGCACGATGAATTGTGTACAATGAAATTCTTCCTCGTGTATAGTTTTAAAAAAAAGGTTGAAATCAAACATGGTCTATAAGGTTATGTGTATGATTGAATCTTGTCTTCATTATACATGATGATTTAATTTATCAAAATCAATTGTAAGCCATATACTTGAAAATCAAATACATTATATATTTGAACAATGTGTAAAGAGTACAATGAATTGTATATATTATATGATATTGGACATCACTAATTACCTACAACAACTAACAAGATATCGGTTCTGCCAGCCCACACTACCCATGCTAAGACGTTGACCCCCGTGGGCGCTTTACACCCACACCGGGACATCGACTTCCTAAGCGCTCTACACCCATGCTGGGTGATAAGTGTGTTTTTAATCGCTTATTTAGCCCACAAACATGACTTAAATATGGAAAAATTAATTGAATTATGACTTAATCTCGTTAAATTCATGCAATGTAGGTGTTTCTATGGAAAAGATGGAATTCAGAAGAAAAGAGCCGAAAAATGACCAAAACGGAACAAAGCGATAGTTCGGGGACCAAGTTGCAAATAATTCATAGATGAGACGGGAAATGGAATGAAGATTCAAGAGTGTTAGAGGTCAATCGGATGAGGAAAGGAGTCAAGAGGTGAAATATAGTCGAAGTATTATCAAGTATCAACTTCTAGGCGAAAAAGTTATGCTGGTGATTTTGAGTCTCTACTTGAGATCCATTTTTGGCATAGTAAACATCCGTATTTGAGGAAGCCTATTTCTATCAAAAGTGTATATCTTTGAGTTTTCTTCCGAATTCACTTTGAATCACTTCAATCGGAGATTGGTAGAGAAAGTTATGACCAAAATGCTGAAAGCTATTCGACGGAAAAATTTCTATAACCATGCGGCCGCATGGTTATAATTCCTTGCGATCGCACAAGGCAGTACAGGAAAAAATCTGGACTGAAACTTCTGAACCATGCGGTAGCATGGCTTTATACCATGTGGTCGCATGGTATAAAAATGTGACGAAATCTTAGATTTCCTTATTCGACTCAAACACGATTTAGTAAGGTTTTGGGCGACTTCCTTAACCTAATTCCACCTCCAATAAATACCAGACGAC